CCCAATGTCTGTTTGTTTCTTTTTCCACTTTGTTTTTTTTTGTTCAAAGTGAAGAAACTTGAATTTGCTCGAATCGTCCGTAAAAAGTGTTGATTTAAGATGAAATGCTTGCATGTAGGTAAATTCTACAGTACATTGTACTTACTGATTACTGCACGTTACAGTGGAAATTTGATTTGTCAGCTCAAAATGAGATATAATTTTGTATAGAGTAATGGCGTTTTTACTGTGCCAACACTCTGTCTATAGTAAGTATAGCTGATATAATCATGTGTGTGTGTATAATAAATAAATAAATATATATATATATATATATATAGGGAGAGAAGGATGCATACAGACAGGACTGGGGAGAGCAGCTGGTAGGCAAGGTACAACCCGTGATATGTGTTCTTGACATTGAAAGCCACAACATCAGCGTGCTAGAGGACGTGCCGGCACACCTGTCTCCCGCACAGGTACGTACGTCGTTAACTCACCTGTCTCCCGCACAGGTACGTACATCGTTAACTCACCTGTCTCCCATGCAGGTACATACGTCGTTAACTCATGACTAGCCAAGATACAAATATCGTTAACTCGCCTGTGTTTTGCTCAGGTACACATGTCATTAACTCACCTGCATCTAGTTTAATGTCACACTGTTGACATTTTCTTCTACCTGTCTCGTCGTTGCGATGTAGGCGATTTGGACACCAGATGACGCCGGTGTAGTGTTTGTCGGCTGGTGGCAGGATCCGTACAAACTCGGCCTCATCTTCTGTACGATCAGACGCAGCGCCATCTATCACCTAGACTTCCAGTCGGGAAATTGCTGTACGTTTATTGTGCTTTTCCTGCCAACTCGATTAATATTATTAGTGAAAATAAATGTAAATTAGTAGTGATAAATATAGAGTTGTTAAATATTAATTATAAATATATATATAATGATAATAATTGTGACATTGTTTGAATGACATAAGTATAATTTATACTTACTAGATTACATACTATATTTATTTATATTTTATTATATCTGTTAAAAGCACAGGTTCACTTATTGTGTGGATGAGATGTGATAGCTTGTAATATATGATGTAACAGAGTATATATATAACTGTATAACGATATACGATAGAGTGTGGTTATTTCTCTGGATGTGGGGGTTTTTTGCAGCAATCATAGGGAAGGACGATCAGTCCGTGCGTACGCCGCGCTTCAGTCCCGACCTTCAGAAACTCGTCTACCTAGAGAACGTGGCGACGGGTCCACACACCAGGGCCATGAAACTGATGATGGTACGCGAGTTCATTTATCCTTGTCCGCCATCTTGGCAAATACGTGCAGGAACGAGGTAAACTTGCATTGTTAATTGTCATCATCGGCAGCAAACTAATCATCATTG